TATATATCATCATGGTTTATGTTATCCAGCATTTGTAAAGTTCCTTAAGGAAGAACTTCATTGCAAAAGAAGAAAGGCAATAAGCCAGCTTCTCAATATCTGTGCCATGCAGACTTGTGCCAAGGAAGCCTATGGAAAGGAACTGCACGAGATAAAAGCTGTATCAGAAGTGCAAAGCGTTGCAACTTTATCAGGCTACGGATGCAAAGTGGGAAAACTCAGTAAAGGCGAAAAAGACTTGCTCTTTCCAGTCACAAGAACATTCTTAAGCATCTCATCTGGCTTCAAACACTGCAGTAATGGATGTTTTGCAAACACCAAAATATCCGTGAGGAAGAAAGTCTTTGACTCTAGAAAAAGAAAGCAATTGAAAACTAAATTTTGGAGTATTTGAGGCTAATGCCAAAAAAAGGCACTTAAAAATCACTTCCAAATTTAAAATTAATCCAAGTATTTTTCAAATAGGATTTCATTATGGTACTTAATTTTATTAAACTGAATATATACAAAATATGTGTAGAACTGACACTGCATGGTAATTTTCAGTACCTATAATCCCAAAAAATAGGCTTCTCTCTGTTCTGTTTGATACCAAGATGGCTCTGACTTCAAAAGGTCTAGACTTTTACTTTTGGGAAATCCTTTTTTTGTATCAATAAAACATGCTGATTTCACAGCACTACAACAAACTAGACCTTTCCATTTGCTCACTGACATAAAGACAAAAAGCATTTTCCAGAATGTCCACCTGACAGCCTGAGGGCCATCTCATGTTTTGCTGATGACTACCTTTACCAAGAGACAGCTAAAAGAAGTTACTTTGCTATGCCTACTTAAGTAGTAACCTCCCAAATTTTTAAAAATTTTCTTTTTTAACTTGACGAGTTACACGGTGCAAAAAGGCAACAAAACAATTTTTGCCAGAAAAGCCACAATTCTTGCTGGCTTTTCCTCTGTGGAAAAAGGAAGTAAAAAAGAGTGAGATTGGATAAAATAGTGAGATGAAGCACCTGTAGAGAACAGAAAAGCATAAGAAAAATGGGTTAAGTGACTTCAAGTCCAATAAAAGCAATTGCAAATTCATGGGTGTTCATATGAATAATTTTTAATTTCCTGCCAGACAGCTTTGGTTTCACTTAATTACAAAAGAAAATGATGAATGAAGAAGGCTATTTCACAGGCACACATATCATACATTTATTTGTTTATTAATTTTTCCTTCCATTTCCATCATAGCTATTGATGGGCACTGAATGATCACATAAAAGAAAGTCTGGCAACATTACATGGACTATTTGCAAAGCACATGAAGAATCCATCACAGCTAGAAAGAAGCTAAGAGATGGTAGCTGGATAGAAGCAACAGCCACAACTCTTACTACCTGTGGTGAAAGAATAAACAATATCAACTCCAGATTACAAAGTGCAGCCTAAAGAGCCTAGCTTTAAATGAGAGATTCAAGGCAGAAAATGGCCAGACACAACTAAATGTTTGCAGAGTAGGCTCACAAGAAAGGATATTTTGAGAGGATTGCTAAATCTCACTGACATTAACAGTCCTCTCTGCTGCACTCTACCAAAGAATAAAAAGGAGAAGGGGTGGAGAGGGGTGGGGAAGGTGTGGGTGTGCACGTAGGAGAGTTTATTTTGCTGGAGTTTTAATTGCAGTTCTGTACACCACACTGCGGTGGTTTGGCTTCCCACGCTGCCATGCACTTTAAAATGTGTTGTACCAAAATCATGCCAAATCCTAAAAATTAAAAGACATCTTTCATCAAGGCATGTGCCAGCCACCAACTCTATTTACAGATGTCATCAACCCTTCCTGCAATGACCTGCATGTAAGTATCTGTTCTTGCTTTCCCTCAGCCCAGATGACTCGGCGTCCAAACATTTTCACCCCAACATCAGTTCACCGAAGAAATCCATAAAGTACCTTCATACTCCAGGACTTAGTGGAAATAAGGCTCTAACACAGATTCATTTGTATCACAGTGACATGCAGACATTGTTACCCCAAGCAGGTAATAACTTCTCTGCAGCACACAGTCTGGGAGAGAGACATCAACACCTTCAGTTTAGGACAGAGAAAAAAAGGCAAGAAAAAAAAGCAAGCTATCTCAAGAGCAACCTCACCTGATAGCAGGCAGCTATGCTGTGCTGAAGTGTTGTAACTAAGAAACTGAACAAAACACTTGTTCCCCAGGATATAGCATTTCTTGAAAACCAAGACTTGAGATCACAAGTTTTTTTGAAACAGATGATACTTTCCTCAGTCCAGACACAATAAGCATGTGACATCACCTCATCCTATATAGGAAGAATCCCTATATTACTTTGCAATGGAATTTTTTCATGATACATTTGATAACAGCACAAATTATGTGTATTTCCTTTAGTTCTATAAAGTAAAAAGCAAAATAAATTGAATGGTGTTCTCATAAAAAGAGGAGTTAAGGGATGTATGGAGATTAAGGAATTTTAGTCAATTTTCAGATCAGCTCCATATATAATAAATGGCCTTAAGCAATGCCTTTGTGTCTTACCTCTCCATCACTGAAATGGGATAACTTATTTTTTTCCAAAGACTGAAATCCACTAATAGAGATGCAAGCCTCTATGAGCTGATATGGTCAGAAATTATTGTCATGAACACACACTTAGCAAAGCACAACTACAGATTTTTCCACTGGTACACAAGCTAACTTGCTTTCTATTGCAGTTTCACACTTCAAATTATTCAGACTGGCCGAAGAAACAAGGTCATCAAGCATTTATTTCGATTGGGATGTCAATGCATACACACACAGGCACCACACTTGCTCTTCCTCTTCTGAGGCAGTCAGAGGATTATTCTGGAATAGTAAAACACTAGCAACTATTTTAATGGCTAAAACAAGGACAGCTGAAGGGGAAAGAGCTAAATGGTAACTGTTAGAAGTACATCGTCCCACTAAAAGTCCCTAGGAGCTCCAGTGAAAAAGAGGACCCTTACTGAAAACAAGTGTCTTGTCAATGAATTTGTTGAAACTGAATGAAACAATTAATTTAGGCACTTACTTTAGCCTTGCAAACACTGCAGGTATACTTTAGGCTCACGCAGTTTTATTCAAATGCTTAAAATAAACAAATGCTTAAACACGTTAAGGTTTTTTTAAGGGAAACTTCTAATTTAAATACAGCATGAAGAATGAGAATTAAAAAATGGATAATTACAGTAAGCAAAGAGAGCTGCACAGCCTATGAGATGGAGGCGCTGAACTAGAATTACCTAAGTTTCTCATGAGCAATGTTCTCACATCTTTACATGACTGCTCTCAGATGATGCATGCTCTGCTCTAGGTAGTCAGATCCAATAACAATTAAAACACGCAATGGAATAATGATTCTGCCCTCAGCATCCTGGCTTTGTGGGGAAGTGGGGTAATCTACTAAAAAATATTCCACAGAACGGCATATAACATTGAGCTTACTAAACAAAGTCACTGAACGGAATTTTAGCAATTTTGAAAGGTGTTGAGTACTCATATTTCCACTCCACTCTTTTGAATCTATCAAAGGTAAAAAAATGCTCAAACAATAACATGCTGAGCTCCACCCATATGGTAAAGCAGTTGAAAAAATCAGTAATCTGTATTTTGAAGTTACTGTACAAACCAAGTATTATCAATAACTAAAATACTGAAGATGGTTTACACTGCCTAGGTACGACCAGTTCAGCACCAACATTTTTACTGCTAAACCAAAGAAGTTAAAGAATTTGCCCTGTAGCCAAGACATACATAAACATACCATAAAGTTCCCAGGATTTTTCACAGCTTGCTCCCTCCCCAGGACTACCTCTGCCTATGTGCTCGCACCAGCCACTTCAGCCTTGGCCCAGCCTCACCTCACTCTCAGCAGATACTGGAGATGCCGAACGCGACCGCCTGCAAAGGGGCTCAGCTCTTACATTGGAAGAGTTTTATCCATGGCATTGCTGTCCCATAAAAAGAGTGTATTAGACACAGGGAGTGAAGGAGAGCCACCAGGTTACACTGGCTTGAACACTGGCTCTGCACAGCTCCCATGGTGTGGAGAACGAGAGGTAGCAGTTGTGATTATGCCAAGAACCAAACTGAAGGAACTACAGCATCTTCATCTGCTGGTTCCCTAAACATAACGTGTGCAACACAGCAGAGCTTTTGTCTCTTGGATATAACTCGGAATACCTGTAACTGTGTATCAAGCAATTGGCTTGTAGCCTCCCTAGGAGGGGTAAGGAACAAGGCTGTGCATTTAAGTTCTGCTTCTGACTGCCTTCCTTGCTTTCATCTATTACTCTGCTTAAATAGGAAATACATTCATTTCAGTTGTGTTGCTCTGTTTAGGAAAAAAAAAAAAAAGAAGCGTTAAACACACAAGTTTATGATTTTCTTTGATATTTTTACGGTATCTTGAAACACTACAAAGCTGTGACACCATAAAGCATGTGCAACCATAAGCCATCCAAGAGAAAATACACACTGGAATGTTTTATTAAGAACATTCATCGAAAGATCTGCATAATTCTTGCTTCCTGAAGTCCCTCGCTGATGTTTCTGTTGACAGGATAGTCAAGATTCAGTGTTTTATAACCACTTCCTCAGACCAAGTGTGCGGCATGACTTCAAATGGAGCACAAGCTAACACACCTACTTTACAGTTGAAGTTTTACATCGATCACTAACTATTCAGGATATTCGCAAACGGGCAGTGGAGCGAGGGGCCCGGCCGGCACCTGCCCGCTCCCCCTCGGCGCCGGACCCTCCGTGGAGGGACAGAGCCCCCTCGGCGCCTGCCCACGGGCACGCAGGAAATGGCAGCACCCGCCCGGCCCCCCCCGCATCCACATCCGCATCCTCCTTCTCCTCCTCCCCCGGCGAGGGCGGGCGGGCGCCGGGGAGCGCGGCGAGGTGTGTCCCAGGTGGCCGGGCTATATGAGGCGGCGCGGCGGCGCGGCGGGGCGGCGGGCTGGCTCCATGGCGGCGCCGGCCATGGCCGAGCCGCGCTCCAAGCGGCCCCGCGTCACCCTGCCCGCCTGCCCCGCGCACCGCCCGCTGCCCGCCAGCCGCGTCCGACACGGCTTCCCCGCCGCCGTGGAGGAGGCGCTCTGCGGCGTCACCGGCGCCCAGCTGGAGCTCCACTACTGCCTGCAGGCGCTGGTAAGGGCGGCGGGGCGCGGCCGGGCGCGGGAGGCGGCCGGGGCCGCGATGTGGGACCCCCCTCGCCCTGCCCGGGCAGCCACCGGCGGCGGGGTGAGGAGGGTCTCGGAGTCGGGCAGGGACGGCGGAGCGGCGTCTGTTCCCAGACCCAGGGCATTTGGGGGCTCTCCCTGCCGGAGCCGCCGCTGCCCCTGCGGCGACACGGCCACAAAAACAACGACGAAGGTCTGGGACGCGCGGGCGATGAAAAGAGCGCTCGTGTGTTTTTGGGTAATTCACAGAGTTCTGCCTGTGGAAAGAGGGACAGGAACAGGGAATGCTAACAGCTCTGGAGTGTGACTCGAGTGGCTTTTTTTACCCCAAACTTCGTATGTAAAATAGTTGTGTGTGGTTAACTGTAGTTTGTGGATGTCGCTGCCGGCTTAGGGTTTTTTGCTCCATAGCATGAACTTTGGACATGAAATTAAAAAAAATTATCTCTGATGCCATGTAACACGCATGCCAAAATTACATCTGGCTACCTATCGCATGTTAAGGCAACATATATTTTAACACAGCCATTAAAATATAAAAATTAGAATGATCAGTGCCATACCTTCTGATACTAAGCATCCACTGGGAAGCAGTAAACTACATTGAATCTCCAAGATCCTTCAATTGAGCTTGGTGTCAAGTATTAGTTCAATAAAAACTTAAGCATGCAGTAAACCCTCTACTGCTAAGCCTGTAGATTAAAAAAAAAAAAAAAATCTAGTGATTGGCAGCAGGATTGGATGGAGAAAGCTCAATCAACTATTCAGGATGTTCACATTTCTAGATTTGATTTATCCACAGTCAATTTCTAATTACGGACATAAAAGATTTACCTTAACAGTTAAGGAGACATGTTAACTTGTGCTCCACTTGAAGTCATGCCTCACACTTGCTCTGAGGAACTGATTGTAAAACACTGAATCTTGACTATCCTGTCAACAGAAACATCAGTGAGTGACTTCAGGAAGCAAGGATTATGCAAATAATGGCAGTGAATGTTCTTAATAAATCTTTCCAGTTTGTATTTTCGCTTGAAGAGTTTTTGGTCACACATGTGTACATATGTTACAGTGGCCATACAAATATAACAAATAAACATAAACTTGTATTGTGTGTTTAATGTTTCTTCTTTTTTTTTTTTTCTAAACAGAGCAACATAACTGAAATGAATGTATTTCCTATTTAAGCAGAGTAATAGATGAAAGCAAGGAAGGCAGTCAGAAGCAGAACTTAAATGCACAGCCTTGTTCCTTACTCCTCCTAGGGAGGCTACAAACCAATTGCTTGATACACAGTTACAGGTATTCCGAGTTATATCCAAGAGACAAAAGCTCTGCTGTGTTGCACACGTTATGTTTAGGGAACCAGCAGATGAAGATACTGTAGTTCCTTCAGTTTGGTTCTTGGCATAATCACAACTGCTACCTCTCGTTCTCTATACCATGGGAGCTGTGCAGAGCCAGTGTTCAAGCCAGTGTAACCTGGTGGCTCTCCTTCACTCCCTGTCTCTAATACACTCTTTATGGGACAGCAATGCCATGGATAAAATTCTTCTGATGTACAAGCTGATAGATCTGTTAGCATGGTTAAATATGGCAGTGGTTAAAGTTGTTGTTTTCCCATACAGAACAGAACAAGGCCTGCAGTGGGTTTAGGATTGTAATCCTTCTGCAATCACAGAATTGCCTGAGCTGGACAGGATCTCAGAGATCATCTAGTGCCATGCCAGGGACACCTTCCACTAGACCAGGTTGCTGAGAGCTCCAGTCTGACCTTGGACACTTCAGGGATGGGACATCCATAGGTTTCCTGGACAGTTTGGTCCAGTACCTCACTACCTTCACAGTAAACAATTTTTTACTAATATGTAATCTAAACCTGCCCTTTTTTCTGCTTGAAGCCATTCCCCCTGATCCTGTCACCACTTGCTCTCTCCATCTTTCTTGTAGGCTCTCTTCAGGTATTGGAAGGCCACAGTTAGGTAACCCTGAAGCTTTCTCTTTTCCAGGCTGAACAATCCCAGTTCTCTCAGCCTTTTCTCATAGGAAAAATTTTAATCAACCTGGGGGCCCTCCTCTGGACTTGCTCCAATGTTCTTCCTGACATGCCTTCCTAGGCATGAGCTATGTATAATGAAAGTGTATACAGAATAGTTAAGTAGCAGTATTCATTATTTTGGAAGAGCATCCATAATGAAGCTGCTAAATAGATACGAAGTTATGCTGCTTCTCTTTTTGGTATTTACATCATCTTTCTCATACCTTTGAAAGCCAACTTTTGACTGGAATGCTGACCTGCAGGGATAAATTTTATGTTTGCTGTGCTGAGAGTATGTTTAAAAAACAAACCAAAAACCCTAGGCAAAACACAATTACAAAACACACACATGCTAACCACTCATAAATAAAACATTCTGAGGATCTCTGACTGCTACTGGGAGAGTGACATCAGTACCACAGTTGCCTGTCCAGTATTAAAAGAGTAAGAGTTCTAGTAGAAGTACAGACATTTTTCCTTTCAGGACATAACTACTTACTTCATTTATTGTAGAAATTTGTGACCTTTGGATTAAGGTCTCCAAAGTTCTAAAAAGCCAGGTTCTTCTGCGAGTCCCATCTCCAGCAAATCTTAACGCTCTTGTTTTTGTGCTTAGGGTGAATATTTTGATCAGTCGCATGTGGCTCTACCAAATATTTCAAAGTTCTTCTTGCATCAAGCTCTGGAAGAGAGAAAAGCCGCAGAGGCATTGATGAAGTATCAGCAAGAAAGAGGAGGTCACTACTGTTCTAAAACCATTCAGGTGGGTAGTAGACAAGAAGATTTCAAGCAGCTGCAGTCCATTTACCTTATTGAATTATACTGTTTTACTTCAGATCTCTGTATTCATCCACTATGAGATTTCCAGATATAATTTACCTGACAGTGTACTCAGTTTTGCTCTTCTTGATGGTGGTGCTTAGAAACTGTCAGACATACAGTCCTAACACTATGTGGTTGAATTCTAGCCCAAAAGAATATGAACAGTGTTTTCCTTTTCTTTTATTCAGCTGGACACTGCTGTTTCTAGCGTGCTGTAACGGATTATGAGACTCCTTAAACTGTGCTGAAACAGCCCACTTGTCTCCTTCACACTAAGTAGACACCTAGATATGATTAGCACCTAAGAAAGGTGGTAAGGAAGGAGGTAGAAGAAACATCCAGCTTGAGGCAGTAGTTGATTTGCTAAAGCACAGCTCAGGACAGAATTTTAACTACAGATTTAACCTGGGCTTGCACAGGTGCACAGTTGTAAAACAATAACTCAGAGTTTTCAGGGGAAAAAATAACCCACCTCATTTATTTAAGACCAAAGGGCTGATTCTCCTCTACCAAATTAATTTTCTGTAAATAGTTAATACAGAATGTTCTTCTTTGGTCCATCATAGCAGTTGTTAAGCTGTAGAAAGTAAAAAGGCCATTGTGAAAATCTTTCTAAATAGTCAGTTTGAAATGGAGAAGACCTTAGGGTGACCTTTCAGTACTGAAAGAGAGTGGGTTTAGATTAGGAAGAACCTCTTTACTGTGAGAGTAGTGATTCACTGGAACAAGTTTCCCAGAGTCATGAATGGCCCAGCCCTTAGAGTGTTCAAGACCAGGTTGGATGGGGCTTTGAGCAGCTTGGTCAAGTGAAAGGTGTTCCACAGCAGGGGATTGGAACGAGATGTTTTTTTTAAGGTCCCTTCCAACCCCTGCCATTCTATGATTGGGTTTCCTGGTGTAACAATGCTCCTCAGGCATAGCTGCTGCTATCTAAATCCATTCCTTGAAAAAGTGCTTGGGCCCTGCCACTTGAATGTGTTCACAGCCATAGCACTCTGCAAAAAGTAGATGCTCCAGACTAGGAGTTGTTGAAAAAACCTAGTACAACTTGTTTGGAGTGCAATTAAGTTGCAGAAAACCATTGATGAATACAGTAAGATCAACTGTTCTGAATAAACATAATTCTGTCTTTGTTTTTAGAAACCAAACTGTGATTATGCAGTCGGTCTGATGAAAGCCCTGGAATTAGCAATGGTACAGTGGAAAACTATGCTACGATACTTTGAAGAGCTTTATGCCCTGAGCGTTGAAAATGCAGACCCTCATAGTGCAAGCACTATGAAGAAGCAATTTATTGCGCCCAAAATCCGGAAGATCAAGCTAATGGGAGATCTACTGACGAATGCTCGCAGGCTCGACTGTTCCCAAGATGGCAGAAATAGCCTTGGGGATTACTTCATGGACCGGCTGCAGAAAGAGTTCAGAACAAGCATAGAGCCAGAGTCTAGTGATCACTGCAGCCCCTGCCGACCTCTGCAGCAGTGCACAGGAGCTGCAGAAGGTCTGAAGCGACCCCAGAGAGAATCTTCGCAGCACAGAAATGGCATAGGGCCAATATATGCAACCATACACTGCACTACGATGCTGCCACAGTGTAATGATGGGACAGGAGCAAAACTGAAGCAGGGCAGGGAGGGCCTTTAATGCTGTGGCTACTACAGGGCAGCTCCTAAGGCAAACCTGTCCAGAGGGTGGAGTTGGGATCAGAACTCAGGAGACATGATCCTGTATCACTCCTGTTTTACACCCTGCCCCCTCATCCTCTCTTGAGTCACAGCTCAAAATCTAGCCCATGCCATTATTTTGTTTAAATGATAGCAAGGTTGCCAGCTACCTAGATTGTCAGCCCTAGTCACACTTATCTATGCAATTCTTCCTAGAAGCCAAAAGCTTTTTAAGATTCTTTTCTGGTTTGAATGATTAACAGGATTATTTAGTGCAAATTTTTAACAATTTATAACTTTTATATAAAAAAAAAGAAACCACTGCACCCTTAGTACAAGGAAACTTCTATGTGGCAGAAAATCCAAATATTTAGTTTTCTATTCTTTAATATTTTATATTCCTGAATATGTATATTAGATATTTTATAATACTAACAAGTATACTAGCATAATGAACTTGTTTTTAAAAAGACTTGGTTTAAAACAAAGTTTTCTTATTTCTATCATAGTAGTCAAAATAATTTACTTATCAGCTGTTTCTAGTGGCATACTTCTTCAGGATGCAAACATTTCCTCTCTATAGTTATGTGCCTAGTTGGCTTTTCTCATTGTCAGAAAACAGATGAGAGAGAAATTAGTTCTCATTAGCTGAGATCTTTACAGGTTCTACTCGATATTTTGCAAGTGTCACTGAAGACACCAGCTCTAGGGCTCTGTCCAGACTTAACCTAGGATGGTTGCTTTACTTTTCATACAGACCTCTATTTCAGCTAGCTCAGTTATGGTATTACTATGGTACTCCTCCTATTTCTTGTATTCCCTATTTGGTCCCAAATAGAGGCATAAGATCCTATTGAAAAAACAGTACACTTAACTAGAATTGCATCAGAGAGAGCGGCCACTCATTAGTTTTGCCTTTCAGCTGGGGCAGTATTAGCCAGCTTGGTTAAAGTGCAGAAGTTCAGAGGCGTCTGAATTCTTTTCCTTGGTCTCCTGCAGGAGTGCCTTGCTTTTTCTACCCTGGCTCCCAAGGTCACCCAAGAGCAACTGGCTAGACCAGCTGCCTGCAGCTAGAGTTTGGGGTTTTTTTGTCATTATACAGAACATCTTTTATGCAATTGGGGTTTGATTTATTGAAAGACTGCCTCAGACTTTTATGTAATACTGTAAGTGATACTCCTATTATGCTTGAAAATAAATTCAGTTCAATGTTACAAATGGTTCTTTGCATCTCCATTTTACTCCTCAATTCACCCCCCAAGTATGTTGGTATTATTCTCCAAGAGATTTTGCATATGTTTACAAAACTTCACCAGTATTTTTCTTCATCCAAGAAAGCTGGATAGAAGAGTATGCCACAGAGTGAAAATAAATGCCAGAAAACTTCATTACTACAAAAACACTGCACAGTTAAATATTTCCAGTAAACTCTGCTGTTTATACAAAGCTGCAGTTGAATAGCAATTTTTGCAAAGCCCACCTACTTTCTGTAGGTGGTCTAACAGGGGACAGACAATTACAACGTAGATGCTTTCCCAGTCTTTCTGTTAATGGAATTTAACATTTGTGGAGGGGGAACACACAACCCCTTTAAAACAACCCCTGTATTCATCCATAAGAGTACTGCAATGTGCCACAAGAATGGCTCAAAGCACTTTAACCAATATGCTAAATTTGCCTATGTTGAGATGGCTGCTCTCTAAAACAGCAGTAGTTTAAAAGATATTTCCAACTGGGCTAGATTCCATCACCCATCCTCACGCTGAGCATACCTTATTCAACAATTAGTTCCACTGACTGCAACTCAACATGAATAAGAGCAATGGAATCCGTCCCTCTCAGTATTAAAAGACAGCTCACTAAGTGTGAACGGAGAAAAGCTGCTAACTGAAGTATAAACTAGTGCCATATAAAACCCCTTCAAATGCTACTGGTAATGTTTGACCTATTTCTACAACAACCTTCTCCTTTAAGAGTTGGTACCTTCTGAAATGTAGGTATAGCCTCCTCCATGGTTTCCAGCACTTAAGACTTTCTTTTACCTTAAGCAAATTCCAGCATACCAGCCCAACATCAAAATTTTTCAAAGCAAGACTTACCTCTTATTTTTCTGTGAAATACTACCATGTCTGTTTCTCAGGCTTCTTATACTCATCTTCTAGCCAAATGTATCCACAGATTCTCATAATTTAGGTCCTTCTCTCTCCCTTTTCCAAAATCACATTCTGGGCCCTCTGCCTGAAAAGACAGATAAACTCACAATCAGCTGTTTTCCCAGTCTCTATCTTCTGAAAAAGAGAAATCAATCAGTTACTGTAGATAATAAGCTCTTCTTGTCCACATGTTGCTTCTGCTGAGAGGGGACGTATGCTTGTGAATATGGTCTCAGATTTGTTAATAATACCTGTCTGCTGTGTATCAGGTGAATCTGTCCATGATTCTCAGCGTAAGTACAATCTGCCTTGACTTCTGATCATCCTTTTCAATCACCTCATTAAAAAAAAAAAAAAAAAAAAAGGAGATGAAGGATGAAATGTGGAACAGGCCAACAGTGTTTATAAAAACTTTACAAATTCTCCTTCCCTGCTGAATGCTTGTTCGAATACACTCTCAGTATCTGTACTTCCAAAGCAATGCCCAAAGCATCCAAACACACGATCTCGGCAGCTCTGAATAGCTAGTTCCCTAAAGAGATTCCAAACTGGAATCTCTGGAGAGACCTAATCTTTACTGAAATTATGAATTACAGCCACAGAGGCTTCCAAAGAGCTTTAACAATAGAATATTTGTAATACTTGCCATAAGCACTAGCTATGGTTTCTGACTCTCGGTGAGGAATGCACCTAAAGTCTCCAAGTGGAGATCATGCTGTCCTTCATCCTCTTCACTATGGCCACAAAAAATTGAGATAAGCATTTCTGGATTTGTTCTTTGCAAGGACTTTTTTTTCAGGCCCCACTGTATAAGGCAACATCTTTCCGGACAAATGTGGAAATACTGGAAAGTAGATGTTAGTTCTGATGGCAGTGGCAGGGAATCACAGAATTGTTAGGGTTGAAGGGACCTCTGGAGGTCATCTGGTCCAACAGCAGAGGAAGGTGTCCTCAAGCACACCTTCAGTGGAAGATCACTGCACAGAATGCACCATCTGGTCATGGTCTTCTCCTGACCTTTGCACTTGGGTGAGTTCATGCACTTAAGTGCATTCATGGGCAAATACTGGCAAACTCCTCAGCGTGCTTGTCGAAGTCCCACCATTTGTTACCACATTGCCCAAGGTACACTACATGCTCAAGTACCAGAGTATCTTTTCCTGAGGTTACATACAAGCTAGAAATGAGCAGTGGCAGAATAGGCTACAATACTGACTAAATATTACATAAAATTGCCTTTTCCACAGATTAAACTAATGGTCTGGAAAGATTTTAAGTGTCTAGAGTGGGTCAGACTGCCAGCACCAAGCCTTGATATCCCAATTTACATGTTACAGCATACAACTATTTCTCATTGATACTTACTTTGCATTATTGTATACCTGGCATTACTTTGAATACAAATTATTTTTATTAACTGTTCAATAAAGATTTTAAAATAAATCATAGTATTCCTTCTGGATCAAAGAACCCGTGTAATAACAGTGAAGTGTTTCCACAAGCTTGCCACTCTGGCTCTCAGAAACAGCTGGGAGATACATTTCTAAATGTGTAAGGGTGGTCAACAGCCGATCTCCTCGGGACATATCAGTTTTCACCACTGGATACAGTGAAAGAATGGACTTGCATAGAGTCCAAAACATATAGGTTTATCTTTAAATAAAACTTTTATCTTTTGGGGATAATGATAGAAGGTGACTTATAGTTCTTATTGTTGTCTGTACTTGAAAACATTTAAGTAAATAGAAAATGGGGATTTCTGCAGATTAGGAATTTTTGCAAAAAACCAGATCATGTAACAACAAAAGAAACCACCATCACAACAACCCATATGAGAAGTCGTAGGCACATGGACTGGGGATTGATCACTGATGGATGTCTTTTACCTTTGCAGATTCTGTCAGTCCTTGCCCCACTGAAGACAGAGCTTTGCCATTGATTTTGAAAGAGTTGATATTTTTAACTGCAGAACAGAGATTAATTTTAGCTCTTCATACATTAAAAATATGCATAACTATTTTAACCATGAAGTCAACGAAATCATATAGTTGAGTTACTGAAGTGCCTCTGAAAAAACCTAATTTCTTACATCAAACGATATTCCAAAAACAGAGTAAAAACTATTAGCACCCTTGAGAGGCATTACCAAAACCCATCCTATTTTATAGAATCATAGAATCAGCCGAGTTGGAAAGGACCTGAGATAATCAAGCCCAACCCTTGATCCACTACTACCGAGCTTCTCCAAGCTCCAAACTGCCACTGCTAGAAATGAGCACTTAATGCACAAGCAATCCGACTGCAGTGCAAAACGCCTCTGCACGGGGTCGACTCCACCTCTTCAAAGGTTTCAGAATAAAGGTAAACAGAGGCTCGAGCTGAAAGAGGAACCTGAAATGCGAATTTACTCAGGGACACCTGACTCCCGAGGGAAAGGCCGGCGCACGGCACGGTCCCCGGGCACGGCGTCTTTCCCCGAAGGGAAAAGCCGACACTGCCCCCCACGGGCGGCCCGGCCGCCTTGCGGGTCCCGCGGCCACGACCTGCCCGTCGCGCTGCTCCCGCACGGTCCCGGGTGTCTGCCGCGCCCCGGGGCCGTGCGGGCTGGCTCGGCCCCAGCTCTCCGCGGTGTCCCCGGCCCTGCCACTGCCCGCTCTCACGAATGCCCCCGCAGTAGTTACCCTCGTGGCCGCAGAGCCGCGGCCGGCGCGGAGAGACCTGTCCCGGCGCTGGGGGCTTCTCCCCTGGGAGAAGCCAGCGGAGCCGCCGCCGGTGTGCGGTGCCGTGCGGTGCCTTGCGGGGTGCGCCGCTGTTCCCCCCGGGGCGGGCGGGAGGGCGGCGGTCCCGGCACCTCCCGGCATAGGGACGCCTCGCTCCCCCTGGCGCGCTGGCTGCTTGGAGCGAAAAAGCGGGGGGGGGAAGAGCCCTCCGCGCAGCCGAGCGCCCGGGACGGCTGAGCTTGGGGCTGCTGGGCTCAGCGCTGCCCCAGCGCCCGCGGGACACCGCGCCCCCCCCGCCGCCCCGGTCCCCGACCCGCCCGGCCGCGCCCCCCGACCCGCCCCGTCCCGACCCGCCGAGCCGGGGGGCTCGGCCATAAATACGGCCTCGAGTGGCGCTCCAGGACCGGCGCGGCTGGGGAGGGGGCCGGGGCAGCAGGCAGCGCTGGTGGCCTCGCCCAGGAGAGGCTGCGAGGGTCTCTGCTCTGCGCACCCGCCCGGCCACGGAACCGCCCGGCCGAAGCCCCCTCCTTTCTGATCCCTTCGCTCTTCCCTCTGGCCCAGCCGCTGTCCCCTCTGCTGCCCCCATGGACTTACTAGGCCCCATGGAGATGACGGAGGGCTCCCTCTGCTCCTTCACGACCGCTGATGACTTCTA